TAGTTGTGTGAGAGGGATTAGTAAATAATTAATAATATTCACAAGTAGTCAGATTAATTATTTATTGACTGTCAGAATAGTTAGCATTAATTGGATGACTCACATGAATAATTTCCCACATCAGTTACATATATCAGTTTAAGGCGCTTCTTCTGGAACTGCATATTAGCATTTCCTCTAGTCCTAAACTTGCATGTCATTGCTAACAATTTCATTCCTCTTCTTTCTAACAAGATTAGGATTCTTTTGCATTACTATTCTGATTCATATTTTACGAAACTCTAATGCTTAAGTTTCGGTTGTCTTCTTGTCTTACAAGTATATTGGCAGCCTGGTTGGTGACTTCTATTGGACCCTTCTCTATGGCGGCATTTACGAGTACCCCAGAGACAAGAAGAGCAAGAATGGGAAGCTGAGGCTCTTGTATGAGTGTGCACCGATGAGCTTCATTGTGGAACAAGCTGGAGGAAAAAGATCAGACGGCCATCAAAGAGTACTTGACATTCAACCAACTGAGGCGAGGACATTCTTATGAGTTTATGCACTTTTCTTGCTAAACTTAGGTACTAAGATGCTTTGGTTGTTTCCTTTCAACAGATACATCAGCGTGTTCCACTTTACATTGGAAGTCGAGAGGAAGTGGAGAAATTGGAAAAGTATTTAGCTTAACCGAAATGTAAAACAAAGAGTACTTTTGTTCATGAAATAATTCTTTAATGGAAGTTTCTCAAGAAATACGCTAAATTGAAATTAAAAGAGAAGCAATTACTTTCCTTTACCTGTATGAATTACTTTTGTTTCGGGGCAAAATATTGCCAGCTCTACATGGGACTTCAGCTGTGTGTAAGATTCAATCTAGAAATTGGATCAAATTTTCAGAGTGTGCTGATGTGGCATTGATTTAAGCTTATGTGGAGTCAAAGTTTTTAAACTTTGGTCAAAGGCACTTTGGAAGAAAGAAAGGGATAGCTTTGTAATTTCATTTCTAGGATATTTGTTGGAAGAAAGAAAGGAGTATGCTGAGAAGGTATTAGAAGATTTAATATGCTTGAGTGTAAATCTGTCAAAACACCAATGGGGCAACATATTAAATTAAGCTTGAATCAGTGTCCTAGTTCAGAAGATGAGAGAAAGGAAATGATTGATATCCCTTATGCTAATGCAATAGGAAGTCTAATGTACCTTATGGTCTGTACAAGGCCTGATTTAGCCTTTGCAGTGAGCTATGTTAGTAGATTCATGAGTAATCCTGGAAAACCTCATTGGGAAGCAGTGAAATGGATACTAAGGTATATTAGGGGAACAATGTCAACAGGAATTGTGTATAGTAAAGAGAAAAACATGCTGGATTTCATTGTGGGGTGTGTAGATGCTGATTATGCTGGAAATCCTGATAATAGGAAATCCATGACAGGCTTTGTTTTCTCTTTATGGAATAATCTGGTTCGTTGGAAAGCTAATTTGCAGGCTATTGTGACTATCAACTACAGAAGCTGAGTATGTGGCGATTACAGAAGCTGCCAAGGAAGCAATTTGGCTAAAGGGAATGCTTAGTGAGTTGGGATTTAATCAGGCTCAAGTTCCAATCAAGAGTGATAGCCAAAGTGCTATATTCCTATGCAAAAACCAAACCTTTCATGAAAGGTCCAAACACATTGATGTGAGGCTGCACTTCATCAGAGATATGGTTGAAGAAAAAATTATTAAGGTGGAGAAAATTCTTGGGAAAGAGAATCCAGTAGATATGTTTACCAAAGTTGTTACTTTGGATAAACTAAGGCTCTTCAAGAGCATGCTCCAAATTGAGTAAGAATTGAGGAAATTTCCAAGGCAGTAGGGGATGAAGAAATCAGATGCCAAGGTGGAGATTTGTGCTGATGTGGCATTGATTTAAGCTTATGTGGAGTCAAAGTTTTTAAACTTTGGTCAAAGGCACTTTGGAAGAAAGAAAGGGACAGCCTTGTAATTTCATTTCTGGGATATTTGTTGTGCCTTTCAGTTTTCACGCCACTTTCATTTCTCTCTGGATTGTTCTCTTCTTGTTACAAAGAGAGGAAGTTGTTGAGGGAAAACATCAAGGTGGAGCCTTGGTATTCACAGGATGAGATCAACGATGGTGTTGAGCTCTCTTTGTAACTGATTTTTATTCTTTTTCCTCTTGTATAAATTTTGATTTATTCTATGTATTTTTGTGTGTGTGTGAGAGGTGTGAGACACATGGGAGCAACCTAGGGTGGTTTACAGAGGGGAGTTGATACTGGGTTCTTGGTGTAAATCTGACTCACAAACTCTGTAAGATTTCTCTTCATAGTGTATTTTTCTTACTGCTTTGAAGAGTGGATGTAGGTAATCAATCTGATTACCGAACCACTATAAATCAGTGTGTATGCTCTTTATTATTTATGCTCTTATTTTCGTTATATCTTTTTTTTGCTGTGAATGTGTTGGATTATTTTAAACTTAGATTTCCTTATTGAACAATCAGTTTGATCAACACAGAGGAAACAGATTATCAGAAATGGAAACGCATAATTGTCTTCTTTTCATGTGGGAGAGAAGTGAAATTTCTTAGCCATTCTTCATGGTGATCAATCACACAATTTATGAAACTTGTATCAAACCAATGCCATAATCAGAACCTGTGCCTAGGGCTGGTTAACAAACCAAGCCACTCGCGAGCCGGCTCGGCTAGAGTTTGGCTCGTTAACGGCTCAGCTCGGTTCGTGAGAGAGAACGATTCGAGTTTGAGCCTACTTCAGCTCGGCTCGTTAGGCTCACAAGTCGAGCCTGGCTCGAATAAGTGAGGAGTTTTGGGGGGTTTACTGAATATGAGGGATTACACTAAAATTTTTAAAACAAAAAGTTTTCAAAAATGACAAGGACCCCCTGATTTTAAAATCCCTAAAATCGTTGACATGAACTATTTGCCTTAAAATCAAACCAATTCCAAAAATTGTCAACACATTTTCTAGCCGTCTCCGGTGTACCCTATCATCGTCGTCAATACCATCTACTTCGCTGGAGTGTTTGTTGCAGAATCGCCATCGTCAAACCTATCTACCCTTCCAACTCTCGACGTCACTGAAATCTACTTGTTTTCCTTTTCTGTCCTCGCTGTAAAACCCAGCTGCTCCATCGTCGACCATCGTCTTGTTCGCAATAAGTTTGATTGTTTTTAATCTTGTTGAGTTATTGTTATTTGTGTATGATTGATTTTTGTGAAACCCATTAGCTTCTCATGATTTTTGTGAACTCTCTTTTATAACAGGTGGTTTTTTCCCGTGAAAGTGATTGTGTTGTTGTCGTTGACCAGCGTGGTGTCATCGTCTTTTCTTCTTTAACTTGTGTGATACTTTTAGGTATCATTGGCATTGAAGATTCAGATCGAAGATATGCCAAGTGCCAAAGTCAGATGAAAAACATTGGTTTGTGTAAAACAATGTAAAAGTCAAAAAGATGTGATAAGGATGTCAGTTGCTTTATTAACTTTACAATGAAAATATATTGTTTTATTACCTTTTTCCAATACTTGATTACTGATAGTATTAAAAGGGCCTAAAAAATTGAATTTTCTGGACAGCTCGCGAGCAGCTCGAGCTCGTAAATCGACTCAAAATACTTGTAAGAGGCGTTTGGTTCAGAAATGTTAGATTACTGGAAAGATAGATTACCTTAGAAGATTACTAGGAATCTTTAAAAAAATGTTTTTGGTTAGTTGGTGGGTATGTTATATGAATATGTTTGGTTATGGGGAATAAATTGATGGGTATGTTATTTAAATTACTAAATTGTCCTCCTTTTAAATATTAATATAAGATTGTTTTTATTATTAATTTTTGAATAATTTCTTTTAACCCCCAATATTTCAGATTTAGCTAAAACACCCCCGCTTATATAAAACTTTAATTTATGACGAAATCACCCCCATCTCCTGCCGCCGCCTGCCGCCACCGTAAACCACCGCCGGAAATCTCCGAAAGCACCCATGAGTACCTCACCGTGACGAAGAGGCTTCGAATATGGCTGTTTTCGGCCATTTCGATGGCCAAAAATGGCCATATCAGGCCAGATCGATGGATCTGGCCATTAACGGCCAGGTCTGGGCTAGATCTGGCCATTAACGGCCACGGACATGGCCGTTAACAGCCAGATCTATTCCGACCAGATCTAGCCCAGACCTGGCCGTTAATGGCCAGGGATCTGGCCGTTAACGACCAGTTCCATCGATCTGGCCTGATATGGCCGTTTTCGGCTATTTCGATGGCCGAAAACGACCATATCGAAGCCTCTGGAGCCTCCCACGGAATTTCGTTCCTTTTCAAGGACTCTGACGATTTTTCGGCGGTGGTCCGTGGTGGTTGGCCGCTGCCGGTGGTGGTGGCTGGGTAGCAGTGGTGGTGGTGGTGGCTGGGTGAGTGGTGGTCTGTAAATTATTTTAAATATAAGGGTATTATTGTCCAAAATTTTAATTAACAAGGGTAAAATTGAAATAGAATATTTATGTAAATTTGTTTTAAAGTAGGAGTATTATTGTCTAAAATTTTTATTAATAAGGGATAAAATTGTAACAAAAAAAGATAACCCTGGTAATCTCAGAATACCTAAGAAAATGGAAGTAATCAGATTACCTCTTATATTACCAATAGTAACCACTATTGGTATTTAAAGATTACCGGTATCTTATATTACTTGACAACCAAACATGGTAATCAAGTAATATAAGATGATATAACCCCAGTAATCCCACTTAACCCCCAACCAAACGCTCTCTTAAATTCATTATGAGGCGAGCCGAGCCGAGCCACAAAATCTATGGCTCAACTCGGCTCGTTTCTTTACCTTATTTCATGAGCTCAGCTCGTTAAGCAAAAAATTCAGCTCATGAACACCCCTACCTGAGCCTCAAATAGCCGTGAGATATTTACTTTTTTGGTAGATACACCATAAACCAATTTTAATTGGAAGCCTGGATAAATAAATAACAAAGATTTTGTGCAAGAAGTTTCTACTTCATTATCAAATGTTATCAGTAACCTTCATCAGAAATTTACAATCACCACTAAATCAATATGGACAGAATACAAGTGGACAAAGATAAGTATTTGATTAGCAAGCTGAAGGGTACTTTGCTTTGCCCAATCTTTCAACTAAAATTATGTGGGAATACTAAAGAGATGTTAAGTAACGTGTAACAAAGAATTAAGATCACAGTCAAGCATCTTTGATGTAAGTACTGTATTGGTACCGTGTCAGCATTAAGTCATCTTAATCTTCAAAAAGAATTAGTTTCTTGCTGAAAAAAATTTCTAATCCAAAGAACTCCTGCGACCTTTTGCTGCATTTCATAAGAAAACATCAATTTTAGAACTCCGAACTAAATTTTGGTATACAGAACAATGAAAATACAAGTTTATCCCCAGTATTGAAAAGAGAGGAAAGCAAAACTTAAAAGTAAGGAGCAATAAATCACCAGGACTTAAAATTCTTATGCATTTTGTTATTGATTTTACTGCAGTTAGGGTTTCAGAGCCTGCAAAATGAAAATTTACAAGATAAATACATAACTTGAAATGATTAAAATCAAATCAAATAGGTAAGTCTAAATCACCTTCAACATTCATGTCTTTTCCTGAAAGAACTTCTGTCAGTATAGATGAATATTCTGACACAACTTGATTAGCCTCCAGATTGGCATCCCCAGATTCATGAGAGCTGCATATTATGTCAAGTATAACATATCTGGTGAAGTGTATAGTGGTGTATAAAATAGTGGAGAATACTAAGACATTAAATAATCAACATGACAAAGGGAACAAATACCCTGAAATATTGTCCACAGAAGCACAACTATCCACAATTGGCTGGCAAGGATAACCAAGTCCTTCGCAGTCGAGATCAAAATCAACTAGCAGCTCGGAGAAAGAAAAATTTCGTCCAAAGGCATCTAAATTAGGCAAATCCATGTCAAAAATGCCAGCTTCCTTTTCAGATTCAGATGTCGAAATTTCATTAGTAATTGGTTCATCCACGTTCACTACAATTCCACCTCAAATCTTTCCCACCTACCCACCTCAGACAAGCCATCCTTCTTAGTCTCGTTCTTCTGTGTCTCCAACTCCATTTCCATTGCTTCTTCACTGCTCAAAACCACTTCACCCATTCTCATAGTAGCCAATCAGGAAAACAGCCAACAACAACCAAAACACTACACCAAGTATGAACAGTCACAACAACAACCAAAACAAGCAATAACCCAAAAAAACAGCAAGAACATAGCAGCCAATCAAGAAAACAGAAAATATCATATATTGATACCATTTACAATATACATAGTAGATCCCGGCAAACATAGATGATGTCATTTAAGAAACAGTGTCAAATGGTAACAGTATCATGCAATTCATTAAGATGCAACGAAAAAAAAATTAAGAGCACCGATTGAGAAAAAAATTAGTATCAAGGTCAACATAAATTCAATTGCAAGAGGACTTGGGATCCGTAGTGAGAGACTCACACGGCTCCGGCGAAGAGCTAAGGCGAAGGTAGCGACGGAATTTCGGAAAATCCACAGCGGTCACTCTATTCACTTCTCTATTTTGAGATTTTATAAGCTATGAAATGACAGAGCTGGACTCTCTATGATTTCAGTGGTTAGGGTTAAGGTTTGGTTTGTCAACGGGGAGAAGAGCGCGATGGAGATGAAGAGCTGATAGGAAAACTGACCGAATGAGATGAAGAGCTGATAGGAGAATAGAGCAATGGAGAAGAGAGATGGAGATGAAGAGAGCGATGGAGAACCAGAGACGAGAGCGACAGAGAAAGCGATGGAGAAGAAGATTGAAAAATTGAAAAATTGAAATGATAAAGTAAATTAAAAAAAAACAGAGAAGAAGTAATAAAAAATAAATATTTAATGATGATGTGGCACATGTTAGATGATGTGGTATCGCACGTCACCTGCCACGTCACTTTGTAATGCCTTCTTTGTTTTTGGCTTTGTAAGAGTAGTGCAAGGATCTAATAATACAAGACAGTTCAAGTACCACAAACCAAAATGATTTATGGTAAGTTGAGCACCTTTGAACAACATTTGTAAATCGTATAAAATATTTTAAAACAAAAAGTCTAACGAGAACTATAAATAAGGTCTAAACAAAGACGTAAAAAAAAAAGTTGGATCCGCTGCAATCAGGTGGCGAAGATAATCAGTGATGGACAATCATCTTACTCGTTCATTTGCAGTTCTTGGTTCCACTGGTTTGCAGCCAGTAGTTTCTCGATAATACTCTTCAATGCAGGGACACTCATCCCACATTTCTGATCAGCAAAGCAAGATCTTCCTTCTTCAGCTGCCTTGCAAAGCTTTGGATCTAGAGGTACCTTACCGAGGAATGGTACAGCCATCTCCATGCACATTTTTGCCGCACCGCCACCACTTGTATCAAATACTTCACTCAAGGCAATCAAGTCTAACATTTCTGGTGCCTTTTCTCTCATATACTTTATCACTTTCTCCGTCACATCTATCTGCTCGCCATTCTCCGTTCCCCGAATGAATTTGAAATCTGTTAATGGCTGGCATAAGCCACTCATGTTCTCAACAACCCCAAGAACTGGGACTCCAACTTTCTTGCAAAAATTCACTTCTTTACGCACATCAATCAAAGAAACCTGTTGAGGTGTAGTTACAATGATCGCACCATCTATTCCCGTAGCCTGGAGGAATTGGACAATAGAGATGTGTTCATCTGAAGTCCCCGGTGGTGCATCAACAACTAAAAAGTCAATATCTCCCCAATATACATCCTTTAGAAATTGCTTGATGAGTCCATTCTTCCGAGGTCCCCTCCATATGACAGCTTCATCAGGGTCAGGTAGCATAAATCCAATGGACATAACCCCAAGGTTGGATTCCACATAAACAGGAGACCAACCAAGGTTGCTTTGGTGAATATCTTGACCTTCTAGGCCAAGCATCTTTGGGATACTAGGGCCGCAGATGTCTATGTCCAGGAGACCAACTTGGAAGTCCATAGCTGCTAATGCAAATGAGAGCTGTGCAGAGAATGTGCTTTTTCCAACTCCACCCTTCCCTGATAGAACCAATATCTTGTGCTTAACTGTAGCCATTCGTTCAGCAATAGCAACCAAATCTGCGGAAACCAATACATAAAATATTAAATAAATAAACAATTCATGAGAGGAACAATATGGTCAAGGCATAATAGTTAAGCAGATATGAAAAATAAGTGCTGCGATCACTTGTACAAGAAACAATTTGCATCAGTGATGGCAAACCCATCATATTAAATTTAAAACATTTCTTCTCACAGCTACAATTTCCATGGGAGGTAAGTTAAAGCACAAAAGAGATATTTACGTTCAAAAAGAATAGTAACAGAATTTTAATCAGAAACAAAAGTGAACTATATTCTTCACTTTTGGGGTTCTGGATTATATTCACTCTGGCATACAGGAAATGACTAATCATTGCTTTCAAACATGCAGTACGGCCTAAGATGGTAGTCCATTTAAACCCAAAAGGTGAAATTTAAACCTAAAGATGTGAGTTTGAGAAGCTGAAATATTTTTACACTCTTGACAAGATTATGTGCACACAACCTTTACCTGATTTCCAACCTTCAAATATAATAGATAAGGTCATGTAATACTTGTTATTCCTTCATACTCAACAACTATCACACTTAAAACACATTAAGTTTTAACTGGAAACATAATAAAGAACTTCTCACATGCAAAGAAAAATTAAATCGAATTTGAGATCACCACAACTACATTGATCTCAGTAGCATCATATTTATTTCAACTCTATTGACAGGCGTCAGTAAGAGAATTTCCTTGTAATCAACATACTTCTAAATATAGATAAAAGTAAATATTAATTAAAATTCTCTCAAAACTAATTAAATTAACAGCTAATAAAAAGTATCTTGAAGACTAACAAATTAATGGTGCATGAGTTTAGACTTTGAGAGACTTGTAACTATCACAATTATGCATACTTCAACTGAACTAATAGGTGACTTTAAAATCTAACCAATACATGATCTGATATCTGCATTACACAAACCACAGCCCCATAAATAAAAAAGCAACACTTGCACAGCAGTAAACTATAAATCTGCTAAAAATCAAATCCACAACATGTAGGGCCACACACCAAAGTGATTCCACACTGCAAAAATTTAAGAAAGCCAAAAAGTGATCCTATATCATCTTGTGTGATAATATCTCCAATCTCTTCAACAGCACCACACTATATGATTAGTTTTTAGGTCACACTGCTATCTAAAATGTAACATAATCCCTCAATCTCCAAGGACATGAAGAGACAAGCCAATATTACTTAAAAGAAATTGCCTACAGTCGAGTTCAATTCATTGAATAAACTTTGGCTTCTAGCCACACCATTTAAAACAGGAAGAAAAAAAGAGTCCTACTGAAACTTTGTTCACCAGAAAGAAACAAATTGTAGTTGACACAGAAACACCTATGAAGTGGGACTCACATAAAACATCATCCTAAATTGATTTCTAACTAGCATACTCCATCCAAATCTACTAAAGCTTTCAATCACACTTAATTCACATTTAATTAAAAGTTGCAACCAGCAATTAAATAAAAGCTTATAAATATAAAGACAAAGACAAAGAGAATGCAAAAGGTTAAAACCTGGGTCGGGGCCTTTAGGGGCAGTAGCACAAGCTTCTTGATTAGGGCATCCTTGGCAGGAGTCAGATTTTCCCGCAGACTCTGACTGAGGACCTGGGCAATCTGAGGAACAAAACAAAACCAATGAATTCAATAAATTGTAACCTTGTACATAACAAAAGCCAGGAAAATCAACTTGATCTAAAAGAGGAAGAGAATTTGAAGCATACGTTCATTGGCGTTTTCAGGAATTTCACCGTTCTCCATAGCCGGGTTCTCTTGAATGAGTTGTTATTAGTTCAAACAGTGCTGAGCTACGAACACAAGGCAACAAACAAGTCCAAATTGAGACGAGCTAAAAAATCAATAACACGATTAAAAAAACAAAAAACAAGCGTTTCCTCTTCTTCCTAAAAATATATCATAGCAAAAACAAATGGAACTTAAGCCCGCGCACACTAAAAAGATTAAAAATGAACATAAAAAACAACAACAAAGGTATCTCTAATTTTGTTGCAATTTGAAATATTATCCTGTGCCTTTTTATCAAACACCTTGAACCAAACAAAAACGCACATATCAACTCCCTTCCTCTCATCTTCTACAACTTCTTGATGATTTTACAAAATACAAGTATTCATCTAGTTAAAAGGCACATATCAACTAATTGACCGAAGCACCCCATTGGACATAAAAAGATCAAAAATTTACAAATCCCTATTTCCTAGTATTTGAACTCCTATAGCTTGGACTCAGAATTCTGAATAATCTAAAATTATGAGAGAAATTACCAAGATTAAATTGCTCCTCATTTTTCTTAATAAGAAACAAACAAAATTTTATTAACATAAAACTACATTGCTCACTCAATAAAGCAATATCAAATAGCTTTTTGAATAGCAAGACACCAATAAAGAAATTAATGAGAAAACTTCAAAACATCAGTATTCATTATGCTTATGCAGCACTGAAAGCATACAAATAATTAAAGGAAATATTACACATACTCATTTATTCAACTCTAAAACTACAAACATATTAACATGAAGCAAATTTCAACCTTTCCAAACCCAGTATACACATGCATATCCACAGACACCATGAACTGAATGATTTTGGTCTCCAGAAAAAACTTTCCATTTCTAAAGTAAGTTTGCAAGAAACAGTCAATATCATTTTAACAGAACATAAGTCCTGAACTCCTAAAATAAGGTACTGACATTCATAGCTCAATACCTCTACAACTACAAACATATACTCACAACTTTAAAACTACAAACATATTAACAAGAAGCAAATTTCAACCTTTCCAACCCCGTCTATACATGCATATCCACAGACACTATGACAGAATGATTTGGTCTCCAGAAAAAAACTTTCCATTTCTAAAGTAAGTTTACAGGAACAGTCAATATCATTTTAACAGAACATCAGTCCTGAACTCCTAAATTAAGGTGCTGACATTCATAGCTCAATACCTCTACAAAATAACCCATTATTTTCACATCTATCTTTGTACATATATCTATAAACCAAGATCAATATCAAAACCTAGTGTGCTAAGCAAAGTAATCTTCTCAATAATATAGTCTAAAAGTCATAAGATGATAATACCGATGTAGAAAATGATTTGATTAGAACACTGGCCACATAACAGCTACTACTCAGAGCACATAAGACATATGTAATTACTTGCTTTTATGCTGATACAACTAAGAACCAAAGCAATTCCATACAGAAAAACACTTTGTTTGCAACAGGACTATACAATTACTTGATATTATTGAAAAGCATGAAAGTTAAAATAATATATGGCAATAATGTACAACAGAATAGATAAATACTCACATGAGAAACAATACAAAATAAAGACGATCAACCAAAGGACTATGCTATAAAAAGAAAACAAAGCAGCAGTTCAATAAAGAAGCACAACTATCTGTGGAGCCAGCATATAATACAATGCAGGGTGATAGAGCACTATGTCAAGAGTTAAGAGTACTGTGGTAAGGATCTAGAGTCTTGACAACACAACATATCCTTCAGCACAGAAGATGTTCAGAACATTGGCACTAAGTCAAATTACACATGAAACTAATGGAAATTCAAGAGTTGTTTTCATATGTTCCC